TCCTTGCGTATTGCGAATGACGCTAGAGACTACAGTTGTCCAGGTATGTAGTGGTTGAAGGTACTATAACTTCAATAATTTTTTCTCGGAAACTATAAGGATTTTACAAAAATTTTTTTTACGATATTGACTCCATTTCTCATGCCGCATCTATTCCCAATTTTTTTTGTATAAGTTGTGAATCACCCTGTATATGTTTGATGGATCCGCTAAAGAATGATTTTCGCAGATATTACGAGTATAATTCAAGGCTGGTCAGAACTTTAGTCCGCAGAGTTGTTGTTTCGGTTTTGCCAGAAAAAAACTGTTTGTTGTTCTTATTTTTAACAATTCTTATTTACTTTGGAACGCAATACATCAAATTTAATAGTGCTTAGGGAAATATTGGGAAATAACAATAGCAAATACTGCATTAAAACTGCACACAATTCCTATCAACAGAAAAAAAATAAGGAAAAAATAAATCAAATGAAATTGAGAAGATGTGACCATCGTAACACACGTCAGCGAATACAGATGGGATGGCCAATAAAAAATTTAAAGAACATTAACCTTTAAATTTGCTTTGATGACATGACCGAACAAAGCTCCTCAGACCTGCTATTCTGCAGAAAGAAACTATGAAGCGAATCAATGTTGATCTTACGTGCTAGGCATAAGTCTGACTTACCTTCAAAGTAACATATCGCTGACGTCAATTTAAATTCGACAAGTCATTCTAAAGAAACCGGAAGTGATACGAAAACCTCGCTGCTCTTTCAACCCGCGAAGAACCTTCCAGCGTATGCACGCTACATAGTAATTATATTACGATTCTGGACAATATCCCGCAAGCACCTCGTTCTGCATACAATTATATTTCATTACAGCTACAAGGCTTTGGATTACATACATTACCAGATAGCATCAATGACAGCACCTGACATAACAGGCACTTATAGAATTATACGCCAGAGAAGGTATTCATAAAAACGTTTCTGACCTTTGAAAGTACCTGATGGAATTAAATTACTGATCAGTTTGTAAAACCAATTAAACGCAATAATGTTTTTGATTTGTCGCAGTCGTCAATGCTGTAACAATTATCTAAATTGCGGCTTACTAAAAAAATTAGTGGTATACAATGTTCGCCTAGGATTTACAGAGAGGTACAAACATTCTACTATAAAATGGAACTGTAATTATAGATGTGAGCAAAATGTTTACTTTATTTTTTTTGTATTTGTCACGGAATTGCGGCAAATTTAATTTTGTTGTTTTATTTCATATTTCTTGAGAAATAAACTTAAATATTTTCGCAGTGAGAAACTATTCTATTAAACCAATTAGAGTAGATAACTTTCTACAGTAAATAAACTTCCTCATAGCTTCCCCAGATTTCAGAGTACAGTGGCGTGCTTATAGTTTTGCTTGCAGTTCCGAGAGTAAATTAAAAAAAGACACCAGAATTAATAAAAATTTTTTCGAGTAATTATATTATCTATATGTGGGCCACCAGTAACGCCTCGATCGCTAGTGACCAAACGGCAAATGTTACAGAAACCTGTGTAGGTGGGTATGTGTAGGTTGATTACGGCTAGATTTTAAAAATATTTTGAAATATACAGGGTGTCCAAGAAAAGCGTACCATATCAGAGTTATTTTTTTTAATGGAACACCCTGTATTTTATGCATTTTTGAAAGCACCGTAAAAAAATAGGTGAATTTTATTAAAGGTTCTGCATACCTAGGACTTATTGTTTGTGAGATATTTCAATTTTAGTGAAAATGCAGGCAGCTTTAGAGGGTCTATTTTAGATCCTTGAAGTTATAAATTGTTATATTTGTCGTCACTGTATTATAATACAGGGTGTTCAAAAAACTGCTGACTACTTCTCAACTTTAAACAGCAATAACTTGATTATTTTAAATGGAACACCCAGTATATTTTTACTTTGGGAGTTAGGAAATTTAAAACTCTTTCAAACTGTGTAGGTTCCCTATACATATCTCTAACGGTATTGGAGATATTTGAGCTGTTTTATTTTTTATCGATTTTTTTTTGTAAGATGTATGTATCCACGAGTCGTTATCGATGTCTTTACTGAATTGGTTTGGGTTCTTCTTGATGACAAATATAACAATTTATAACTTCAAGGATCTAAAATAGACCCTCTAAAGCTGCCTGCATTTTCACTAAAATTGAAATATCTCACAAACAATAAGTCCTAGGTATGCAGAACCTTTAATAAAATTCACCTATTTTTTACGGTGCTTTCAAAAATGCAGTAAAATACAGGGTGTTCCATTTAAAAAACATAACTTTGATATGGTACGCTTTTCCTGGACACCCTGTATATTTCAAAATATTTTTAAAATGTAGCCGTAATCAACCTACACATACCCACCTAAACAAGTTTCTGTAACACTTGCCGTTTGATCACTAGCGACCGAGGCGTTACTGGTGGCCCACCCTGTATAATTTAGTACGTGACTTTAATATCGTTAACTTAACGTAGTATTAAATTATGACGGTGTCTTTTATACTTGACATCAAATTAATCAAATTTGTCGAGGAAGAAAAGAATGCTCTTTTAAATCTCAACTTTTTTCAGACGATGAGTTTAGTATCCTATCAAAGAATATGCAATCACAAGCTATTTTGTAGATAAAATAATATTAAATGCATGCAGTATATAAAAAATTCGATAAGGGAACTATTTTTCTTAGGAAATCTAAACTGAACATGACAGTTACGAATTATTAATGTAATATCGTGAATTCCAAAGAAAATTATCGAATGCATACCGCACGAATCAGTAATTATTAATAATAAATTGTTACTATTCCTTTTTTTAATTTGTGATAGGTGATTATAGTTCTGAAATTAACATTAGGTTACCTTGACATTGCGGTAATCAGTGTAATAAGTACATGACAATAGAAATACATGTATATTTAGAAATTCCGCATGTGTACTTAAATTGTGATAACATCTAACGTACACATACGTAGTGGGAAGAGGAACCTACTTATGTTTTGTAAATGAGTTAAAATTAAGGAGAATTATACAAATTGTTGTGTTGAAAACAATTTATATACTTATGTTTTATGTTGAAGATGTCCTTAATAATAAATAAAGTTAAAATATTGCGAAATGCCTCTAGGTTTTGCATTTTCAGTTTATAAACGTAGTTGCTTGTAGAGATTCAATACTGTTCATTTTATACGAAGACTATAATTTGCGCAGTACATATTAACTTTGTTCCTAAGTACAGACTCGTATACAAAGTTGAGCGACATGTCGTATTTTCAAAATTCACCTACCTTTCCAATAGGGATTGGAAAACTGGATGAAACCGGAAAATCATCAATCTACCGTCATCAGAACCAAGGATGATGACCATTTGGACCCAAAGTTGCTATACGAAGAAGCTCAGAGCACGGCGTGCCCTAATTTTCGCGCCGTCGCTCCCGATTCCATTCCAACCATTCAACGAAAGCACTGCACACAGCAACCGATGTCGCTCCAAAAGATGGAGCCAATAGCTGCATCCATAAAACGACGTGGGTACAGTTTTCGAAGATGTTTCCAATTTTCCAGCCGCCGCCGTCGCTCCCAGATACCGCTCCACGATACTTTAACCGCCCTGATGTCGAAGCCCTCATTCCCGATAACTAGATTTCCGTATCGAGCCCGACAATTAAGTCCAAATTCAGAAATTTCAAAAATTTCAGAATATTACGAAATTCGGACCTAATATATAATAGTAACACCATGTCCATCACTATTTGAGACGGTCCAGGAAGATTCCATAATTTGGAGTGGGCATAATCTAACATCAATCAATCTGAACCGGAGGGAAGGAGAATCACTCGCCAAACTTGGCAACGCCAGACACCAAATCCAATTTGTGATCGAACTTCAACCCTGGGCATATGCACATCTTTAAGCAGGAGATGGGTGCCTGCCCAGTGTTCGTAGTACTCTCAAAATAGCATAGGAACGAAGTTTTAGAATTCATAGGCACTCTACGGAGGCCTATAGAACTAATATAAATTAAGTGCTCTATGAAATCAATGCAGAAAACTATACAGGGTCAGTCGAAACTCTCAGAAAACAAAAATTTCTTGGAAACCAAAAAGAAAGTGCAGTTCCTAAGTATATCTCCGAACTCAAATAGATCGTGGACCATCATTCCGAAGCCGATACCAACGTGTGGAAGAATGGCAAGATTGGGAAAGTCAAAGGGACTAACCCAGATGGCGACTGGCTCGTATCGTATACTAGGAAAAAAGAAGCCAAGACGTTGGTGGCGACTAAAATTATTTTCTGAAGGATTCAGTGTTGGACGCAACCATTTGGATAGGTTAATACGTTAACGATGGTTCAGGATTTTGAAATTTCACATGCATGCCATCGACTGATTTTGAAATATTACTTGGGCCCAAAATTGCAACATCGGAGACAAGATTTTGAGACGCTATTTTTATCTCAATCAGATTATCTGTTATTATCATGAAAATTTGCGCAACATTGTATAATGTCATCCATTTAAAATTGAAGACTTTTGTACAGCAACTGTCGTAGGACATCAGATTTTGTCGAGATACAGTACAGGAACAAGTCTCGCGGCAATTGCAGACATGTCGAGATATACATGTCGCTCAACTTTGTATACTAATTTGTACTTAATCTTTTTAGAAACAGTTTCCCAATCACATTTGATTCGAAACAATGAGCATGTATTCATTATATCGGAATGAGCAAGCGGCCGACTGTTAGAAATTGTTTTGGATTCCTCTAGGAACAAAGCTATTACGTTAACAATGAATTAATAACCAAGACATACATAACAATCAGACCATTTGAATAATAAGAATAGACTACAAAAATTAATTACACGGTTTAATAGTGGTTCTGGTACATTTACTATAGTGAATATTTTAGTTCTATTTGTAGAACATCTTATGAGAAATATAGCGAATCTTAAAATGGATTATACAAGTGAGGAACTTACCCAAATAAAAAACTAAAGACGTTTTAGCAAACCCATAGACAAAACTTGATAAAATTTTGCTCATCGATGAATATATTCCAATAATGGCATCGTCAATTTTTAAAATGTGGCTGAAGACTCCTACTGACACCGAAGTTCCTGTAATTGAAAAAATATTTTACAAAACAACGTAAATGTGTGTCATTAGAAAATTGCATTTGATTAAGTAATTTTGATTGTCTCAATTAAAGCATTTGTGTGCTCAGCTGTATATTTGTGTAAATGACTTACCTATTAAGTTGGTTACCATGCTGTATGTGGAAAATATACTGAAGTCGACTTCATCCCAGTTGAATCGATATCTTGTAAATAAATACGCCACATTCATCTCACCTAAAACAAACATTTCAGTATAAATTTGACGATTTGTATATGTTTTAATGAAAAAAAATCAAGATTTACTAAAATACATGAAATTCTTGAATTTCAGTCAGTTATACAATAAAGGGTGTCCCATTTTCAAAATCTACTGGTTAAAATTTATACAAGTTCAAACTAACTATTGGTATGATTCCTTTTGAAGATATAGTTGCTTGAAGATGGCCTATTTAAAAGTGAAAGAATGATACTTGAAAAAATTTGTTTGTGCTAAAGGACGCGGTTTTCGCGCTTGTTGAGTTGTGATCAAGATTGTCATCAAGTACAAAAAAAAAACAACAATAAAGAAACCGTGATGTAAATAAATGATTAGATGCACTACAGAAAATAAATATTTTTCAAAAAATATCATTTGAATTCTTGCGTCAAGGTGAAACAGTGAACCAAGGCATTTTACAACGGTTACAAAAATCAAATTACTGAACTCCCTTACCCTCCTTACTGAAACTGAGTTCACAAGGTTACCATTTAAATTTTTCGAATAGATATTTGTGTTCACCTGTTATTTTCTGTTGGTATATCTTGCTTGTTTTTTTTTAGTTGTTGTCTATACTAAAAAGAGTAAAAATGTCTTGAATATTCCAGTACAGTAATCCAAGAATTTTGTTATGATATTGAAGTTCATCAAACCGCATAAATTTCGAGCTAAACTAGCAGATTTGTTCTTTTATAAAAACTGATCCGATCTTAAATCAAACCTAAATTAACATAAATTTCGAACCCATTTGACAAGTTATTTGTCATACAAAATTGATCACCGACCTTTTTCAGGCATAAAAAATGTCGTCGCTTTTTCTTCTTGTTAAATGTAGACCATTTGTTAGCTGCAAAATAAATTGTTGCATTGAAACCGCATCTTAATTAGCATCGAAATCGATTTTAAACACCGAGTTCCGTCTGATCGAAAAAAAATCCCTATTCCGACAATCCTATTATTCTGTTGGTAAAATGTTATAGCTGGTGATTTAACAATAAAACACCGCATGTCCTTGATCATTTTTCTAAATATAAAACAATTAATGGTTACGCTCTTTATAATATACGTAGTACCAAATAAATAAATGATGAAAAATTTATAATAAACGATTAGCTAATCTTATTATCTTACCACAATTGAATTATTGCGCCATTGTGTTTAGTTTTGATTCAATTAACACAATAATTTGTTTTTTTTGAAGGATTAACCAATAAGTTAGGTACAAAGTGTAACTTGTTTGTGGTAAATATTAAACATTAAGAATCGAAATATCAATTTTATTACAAATACACAGTAAACTAGAAATAACTATTACAATAGATGCAAATAAAATGCTTGGCTAAATTTTAATGACGAATTATAAGTCAGACATTAACAAAAAATACCAATCATCAACGAAAAATGTCTTATAATAACTGGCGATAAGCTATATTGTCTGTGTAATAACTACGTGAATAACATTTATTCTTAAAGGATAGAGTTGTTTGATTTATTATTATTTCATACATTGATAATTATTTAAGAATATATTTTTATAAAACTGTAACAAAAACCGGGACGCGTGGTAATTTATTGGTTAGTTCTCGGAACAGATGGGCCGAAAAGTAAAATATTTCAGTCAACACTAATAAATTTACAAACCGATAATTAGAATAACCCCAAAACACTTCGGGAACAAAGAAATCGATATTTTTAATAACGCGCGAAACCACGAGAAGAGCGTAGAGGTTCCAAATTAGAATTAAATCAAATTGTTAAATGGATAATAATTGGAAAGGAAAGTAATAGATCAAATAGCTGGTTTTTAGGCGGATTTTCCAAGCTATGTAAGTATATATTAAATGAGATTGACTAATCCGTCCCGTATTGCTACACGGAGTCACTAGAGGAAGGGTAGAGTTACTTGTAAGTTCAGTTAGTCACAGAATTATTTATATAAATGTAAGTCCAGTCAGTTAGGTAATTATTAACATGGCATAGTTATGCCAAAGTGTCCCGATATTCACGTTCCCGCCAATAAGATAAGAACAGAATCTTCTGGACCTAAGAAATGGGCGTGTCGAAGCGAGGTGTCGAATTCAGGAGAGATACGAAAAACAGGCAGTTTTTTTCCTTAGGTTCCACATTGAGCAGTCGACTTAGTTTTAGAGCCTCGGGTTACAAAACATTGTGACTACATATTTATAGTTGGTCTAGTGACTCCTCTGTATATAAAAAATATAAAATTCGTTTGAGGAAAATCAAAACTGACAACTATGTCAGGAAAAGTGTAGGAAAACCATACATTTGCAAACATGTTTGTAAATAGAATTTTTGTTTCTTAATTTGTCTATTATTTTAATTGCAATATGTAATTAAGCTTAAGCAGATAAATCAATAAAAATAAATCAGTCCAATTTCATATACCTTTTGCAGTTCAATTTCCTAAAAGAAATTGCATCGTGGGAAATTAACCTAAACTGGTGCAATGCATACAGGATATTTCGCAAAACATTGAGGTTAATTGTAGAATATTTCGTTTTAATTTGAACATCCTTCAGAAAATGTTTATTTTTTTAAATTCTTTCTTTCCGTATCCGTATATTATAACCATCTTGTATAGTTGAAATGTAAATTATATTTTGTTACTATTGCTCTTAATTTACATTTTGTAAACAAAATTACATTTAATTTTATAACTGAATCATTATTATATTAGTTTCTAGTTATTTATCAACCACATTTTATTCATAGATGATTCATGAGTATGCAAAAAAACCTTAAGTCATTTTATTGAAATAAATTATAATGAAAATGTTAATAATAATACCAGATACTTGAAGATACTACATATTAATTGAGTTTAAAATCATAGCAGTAGGGAAAGAAAGGACAAGATGGAAAACCCCTGGAATTGAGTTATTAAAAATACGAGTAGTTTAATTAAAAAATAATTTTACTTATGAGACTTATAAAATATTATACGTTCATTATAAATTATTGCGGTCGGCAAAATTCCTGTATTTTCATTTGTTCTTCGAGTTTAAATGTGTGATTTTATTGATTTGAGTTAAGTAGACAAAATGGGAAGCATTTTACATATAGCTAAGCAGGCCCGGATCCAGAGGGGGTGGCGATGTGGCGATCGCCACCCCCAAAGCACAACATTTTTTAAAGATCTTCAATTTCTCCAAACGACAACAGGCAGTTAGTCGATATTAATGCAAGTCCCCCTTCCTAACCTACACCTTACGTCATCAAAAAAATAACAACAACAACAACAACAACGACAACGACAACGACAACGACAACGCCAACGCCACCGCCACCGCCAACGACAACGCTAACGATAACGATAAGGATAACGATAACGATAATGATAATGATAAAGAAGTGCTTTGCGCCACCCCCAAAACCAGTCTCTGGATCCGGGCCTGTAGCTAAGCTTACCACACTGCCTGTTTTTCGTCTTTGTTAATTATAGATGGTCACAGAAATTATATAATTTCATAAAAAAACACTTTTTTGACGATAATCGCACGATTATCTCGTCTATAATGTCATGTTTAGATGGAACGAAATTATATCTTATATGATTTTAAAAGAAATAAAAAAAATTATGCTTATATAAACAAAAAATAACTAACAATTTCAGACGAATTTTTAACAATAAATGCGAAAACAAATAAACAGTGATATTGTTATATTTAATGACATATTGTGTTGGATAATGTGAACAAATTATATTTTATGAACTAATTCCTAGAAGCAATTTAAACATTTATAAATGAGCTATTTAGCGAATGCTTGTTTTATTGCATTTGATTAAAAAATGCCTAGCTTGTTTGGAACCTCGAAAAGCAGGAATTAATAAATTCAAGTTATTTGTAAAGAAATTCATATTTCTGAATTAATTTGCAGGATTTTAGCAATATCGTGTTTTTGAGGTTACAGTATAAAAACAAAATTTAATTTACATCCACTAATATTTTGTCATATTTGAAGGATAAGTGTTTTAATTTTATTTGCATTTTTCCCCAAAGAAACAACAAAAAAACTAAAATTATAGTAAAACGTCTGTACGACTCCTTTTAGTTTAAATCAATTTCTTCAAAGCTCAACAACATGCGTATTCAAAATTTTTGCGCAATATTTGTATTTAGGTTATGAATGCGAAACAGTTTTATTAAACAGTAGTAATCTATACTATGCTGCTAATAAGCGGCAATAAGTATTGTAGTAGCAGAAACAGGCTAAATCTATGGTCAACCGTGTGCCGCTCTATGCTCACGATACTACTGATTGTGAGTGCCAAAAAACATAAAATATGCCGTCTCTCGATCAAGCAAAGTTCCAACGTCCTTCAGCAAAAATCAGTACTGTTCATAGGCACGCCAGGCCGATAGAGCAGACATTAGGGTACTAGATACGTATCGAATAAACAGATCGATGCGAAGCTTCATATCAGAGCCAAACATGTACTATATGTTATTGTACAATGACGCCGATATGGTTTTCTGCGAAATTAAAATGGTTTGAGCTGGAGACTTTTTTTGGTGATGTAATCTTCTTTGGGAATTTGTGATTTTTTTTATATGTATATACGTCTATTATTCACATTTAAATTTTATAATGCCAAGTTTCTTAATTTTTCTCTTTTAACATTTAGATATCTGGTTTAGATCATCAGAAAAATAGGAATATACTCGTATTCGGCGTTGAATGTAATAAAACGGGGATCAAAAATTCAATTCAATATATTGAAAGTTATATTGAAAAAACTTTTGCTTCGCAGTGCCACATTGGGAACACTATACCTCAGTAGGCGTTGACTTTTGGATACAAATAAGTTGGTCTAAATCGTTTTATTTTAACCGAAGGAAACTACGGTGACTTGCTGTATATGCATTTCATAGATAACCTTTAGGTATATTTTCATGTTATCTAAAGATCAACAGTACAACGCTGAAAAATAATTGTTGCGCGAACCTTTCACGAA